TATTATTACTGGTATGTTTGCAAAATGTTCTGTTTATTTAATTGACTTTATTATGATCACCTTTTAAGCTATACAGTTAAAATTTACAACTAAATTTAACATTTTGTCATTTAGGTAGTTATTACTAATTTTAAATTATACTACAGGTAGTATTAAAATAATAATAATAATAATGATGATGACGATAAATTTAACTTTTTTCTTTAAATAATATTTAGGCGGCTTAATTTTAATTTTAAAATCTGATCACTATAAATTTATTCCTTGTATTTAATTACAATATGTTATCTTATTGTAATTTAATGGAGATATTATGTTTATGGTTATGTCACAAATAAATAGTATCAACTATCGGAACAACTCATAAACTGGTTATAAATAATTTCTCTTTTTTTTTCGTGTATAATTATTTTGTTGATTAAGTTGTTAATGTGACATTCAATAGCTAATATTTTTTAATATAACTGTATTCCATTATTATAATTAATCTAAGTATATATTATAAATTAATATAATATATTACAATCTCCATCTTAAAACAAAAACAAACATTACATTTTCTATCTTCGCTATAACATCAAGTTTAATATTAAAGTCAATTAATCAGTTATCAAATTTTAAGATGAAAATATTATTTTATATATATATATTTAAATTATATTCCATTATAATATTTAAATAATGTTGGACCTACTTAGAATTATTACTACTTTTAAAGTTAGCATATTATTGGAAAAATATCTAATAAGTGAACCTAGATAATAATTTAATTTAAAACTTGTATCAGAGCCAGCCTAAAATTTTTTTATGATTTTATTATTTATCCTTTTTTTTTTTTAATAAATTATTAAAACTATTAATATAATATTGTACTAATATTAAAATGCATGATATTATAAAAATATTTATAAGATATTATAAATTTATCAAATTATTTATTTTAGGAGGTCCTAGTGTAGCAGATGTAACTGATTTTGAAAAAGCCCCTTTGGGATTTGGACAAAACTATACAGACCCTAAAAAGGTTACTCCAGTATCTAACATTAAAGTAAGTAGTTGTTAGATTATTGTTTATTTTTTACTAGAAAAAATTAAGTTTACTTGGATAAATAGTATTATATTTTTATAAATAAATATAAATATACTAAATTATTGAAATAAAGTATATTATCATATCTTTTTTGTCCACTTATTATTATTATGTTTTGTTTTATTGACATTAAATTAATTAAAGATATTTGTAAATTTCCTAAATTTTATATAGCAATGAATTGTATCATCACATGGCTTTTAATATCTCTACAATGATATCTTATAATTTCAAATAAAACATATTGTATTTTATTAGATAGCATGACATTAATAATATTGTTTATACTTTTTAAACTTTAAAATCATTTCTTTTAACTAACAAGTTTGTTTAGTGCATTTATTCCTCACCTTCAATAATTTCTAACTTGATCAATATAAACCATTGAATGTTTAACAATTTTTGATGAACTTTTGTATTTAAAAATGCAGTGTGCTTTGATATATTTCTTAATGTTTACCATACTTATAAGATCTTTCATGTAATTAGAATTAACAAAATAAAATTTTTTGTTAAAAACAAAAACATTGTGGGAACAAGGAATTAAAAAATCTTTTATTTATAGTTTTTTTTTATTATTTGTTTTCTAAGCAAGTTTCTGGTATTTGATTATTAAGGATAGATAAACCTTGAATAATCAAGGTTTTTAAATCATCATAATTTATTTTCTTTATGTTCATTTTTATTTTCAATAACAAAAACCAATATCAATTGTTTTAAAATTTCTGATCGGTTGTTGTTATAATATTGCTTATCAACAGGGTTTAGGATTTTATGAATTTAGATAATTATTTGTTATACTATTATCTGATAATAAAAATTAGTAACTGAATTTCTACTATTTAAATTAAAATTATGTATATTTTTTTAAAAATATTATAAACATATGTATTCTTGCAAAAAAAAAAAAAAAAAAAAAAAAAAAAAACAAGATATGTTTACAGCCAATAGTTATTCATACACTAATAATTATCTGCACTGTAAAATTTAGTTAAATACATTTTAAACTTTTGTTGCGTTTAATTTCAATATTTTGTATATTAATACAAACACCTTTTGTTTAAGTAAAATTTTATTTTTTAGGTTTGATACAATAGCAGTCATAAAAATTTTAAATTGATTTTTGTATTCTTATTTATTCATAAATAAAAATTTTTGTTTCGTGCATTTATAATTGAATATCTGTTATAATTTATGATAAAATATAACTTTGTGTTTCTAGATTGGTGCTCCAATTGATGGTCTATTAGAGTGCCCATTATGTCTAGCCAAATATGATGAAAATTATTTTGCCAAATTGTCAACTTGTAATCATCGTTCCTGTTTTGACTGTTTTCAACAATATCTACGTATAGAAATATGTGAATCACGTGTAAACATTACTTGTCCAGAGTGTTCTGAAGCTATGCACCCAAATGGTATAGCTTTATTTTTATATTTTTGTGTATATTCTTTTAATGTTTAATATTTTTCTGTTAAGACATACAAAGTGTGCTCAATAATTTAGCCCTTTATGAAAAATATGAAGACTTCATGGTACGGAGAGTGTTAGCAGTTGATCCTGATACTAGATATTGCCCTTCACCTGACTGCAGGTAAATATTTTATGTTTAAAGGTTTTCAAAAAAACTTTATATAAAATAGTTTATACCTTTAATATAAAATTATACTAATTAATTATGTATTAACACATTGTTGGATAGTTTTAAAAAAACATATTGTTTCCTATGTATTTCTTTAAATACCATTTTTTCATTACTTTTATAGTAACATTAACTTTTTTTGTTCTTTATTATATCAGTAAACACATGAGCGATGAGTCAAGAGCACTTGATAAGCATTATTACAACTGTTGTAATTTAGAAGTGTAATGAGAAAATAAAAATTTAAAAATGTAATTTCATAAATAGAATGGAAAAAATTATCAATATAATTCGGCTTTTAAATTAACAGTACCCATATGAGTAACATATTCTACTATATGGACAATATTACTTGTTTTTCATAAAAAAAGCATTTAAACCTTTACTGCTATAACAATTATGTTACATTATGAAGGTTTTTAGAGTATTATTTGATGTTTATAATATAAATATTTATTTTTTCTAAATTATGTATTAAAATATGAAGTTGATAAGTCAGAGAATTATCTTGTTCGCTTCATTAAGTAAAATTTTGTTTTGTAACTTAACTTGGAAATAGGCTAAAAATTGTACATACTTGACTTATCAGTAATAAATAATAATAAAGCTTTATTTTATTTTTTAGCTATGCTGTCATAGCTGCAGGTTGTGCCAGTTGCCCAAAGATAAAATGTGAACGTCCTGGTTGTGATTCATATTTTTGTTACCATTGCAAAGCTGCATGGCATCCTAATCAAACATGTGATTCTGCTAGAGCAAAACGATCATCAAATATGAGAACCTCATCTTTAACATTTAGTACAGATTCACAGTCACGTATGAAATGTTAATAACATTTTTATTTTATCAATGTGATTATAATAAAATATAAATTTAGGTGAAGACATTAAGCCATGTCCTCGTTGCCAAGTTTTAATTGTAAAAATGGATGATGGCTCATGTAATCATATGACATGTGCAGTTTGTGGAGCAGAATTTTGTTGGCTATGTATGAAAGTAGTCAGTGATTTACATTATCTTAGGTAATGGTACTTTATTTTAAATATATCTATATTAGTATTACTATTGATTTTTAAATTATTTATATATAAACTTAAATTTTAGTCCTTCAGGTTGTACTTTTTGGGGTAAAAAACCCTGGTCTAGAAAGAAAAAGCTTTTATGGCAATTAGGTACATTGGTAGGAGCTCCAGCTGGTATTGGTCTAATCGCAGGAATTGCAATACCTGCAATAATCATTGGTAATTAAAACTTATTTATCAAATAGTTAATTGATTGATTGAATATTCATTCTGTGTTTTTTTTTTTAATATATTAAAAGGTGTACCTGTTTGGACTGGACGAAAAATGTATACCCGTTATAGACACTCAAGTCGATTAAAAAGGAATTTTGCAATTGCTGGTGGCGTATTAGCTGCGGTGAGTATTTAACTTTTACTAATTTTATTATTTATACATTACTTTATGGTTCAACCAAAAACAATTATGATGGAGGTAGTAATTAAATTAATTATATTTTTTTATTAATTTCACGATTTGTGAACAGGCATAAAATTGGTCCAATCAATTAATTAAATGAATTCAATTTTATTTATTATAATTACTAGCTTATAGAATTGAGAGTTTATTGGTTATATTAATATTTTAGGTTTGAGATTGTTTTTCTTTAATTTGTCCGAAGGATTAAAGTTATAACAGAGGAGTATGTGTGATTTGTATTTTGTTTTACAGATGTAGAAGTTATATTTTCATTAGTTGATTTTAAAATACTAATTTAGTATAATAGAATTTAAATATGCTTTTTAACTATTTTTATAGTTCTTTATATCTCTACACAAATATAATTTGAATGTTCTTAATTTTCACATCATAAATATATGTATGTACTTTTATAGTATTAATTTAACTTGAATGTATTTACAAATCAATTATTCATTTCAATTTTATAATCAATAATGTTTATTATTACTATAGTAAGTAAAATCACATAATATAAGTAGTATGGACAGCACCGTTACATTAATTTAGGCAACACAATTTTAACATGTCAAAATGAAAAGAATCAGTAAAAACTGATTTAAAAAAAAAAATTTTAAAAAACATGTTTATACAACTGTATTGAGCTATAAGATCTAATAATAAATGTATTACTTTGCATACCGTGTTAAGGTTATGCTAAAATTTAAGGCATTTTAAATTTGAGTACATGAGACAAAATTATTATGTTGATTTAGCTTTAACAATTTTTTTTTCTAATATTAATATAATTTATTAATTTTTAACACTTAAAAAAAGTACCTTAACCTCAAGTAACATTTGAATTTGCAGAACTAATAAGTAAAAGTGAAATAAAACCTTTATAATTAACAATTATATTTTTCTATTTATTATATAGTGTGAAAGCTCTAAAGTTATTACTTGAGAAAAGAGTAATACATTACAAACATAGATAAAATTAAATAAATACTATGCTGAAATTTCAGTTAAATGTCTGTTGAAGATTTCCTCAGCTTGTAGATCTGTCAACAGGTCTAATAATCTTTGTTCAGTTTCTTCATTGCCTAAAGCAACGTCTACTGAACCTATACACAATAGTACTGCTAATAACTTCGATTCTTTCATGTCTTCGTCCAGATCATATCGACTGTATTCAAGTTGTCCTTCTATATCTACACTCAATTTACTCGCATGCGTTGTTAATGCTTCCCAGTAGATGTCTACCAACTCATTTGAATGGTTTCGTCTAGTTTCTGTGGACAAACTACTTACAAGCAAAAGTGCGACATCATTAGTTGGTCTACTATAGGATATCATTTGCCAGTCTAGTATTACACATTGGTCCTTTTCTCCAAACATTAGATTGTTGCACCAAAAGTCAGTGTGCGTCATCAACCCCATTGGTTCTTTAGGTATCATAAGCGATCCGATTATTTGTTTAGTTACACGACATAGAGATCTAAGTGTATTTATTAAAGTGTCATATTGTGGCCCCTTAGATCGTAGAAAAACGTGCAATTGTGGCATTCCCCGTTCGACGAGTGCTTGATAAGATAGTGTAGCACGAGATGTTTGAAATAAGAACGGCCAACGTTCAGTGAGAGGCCCGTGCTTAAGTTTTAAAGCAAGAGACGTGGCGTGGATTCGAGCTATAGAACGGAGAGCAAGTTTGGCTTCTGTGTATGTCAGCCCAGTGGAGAAGTTGGCTGCTGTGTAGCCGCGTTTGGATAAGTTTTCCAAGACTAACATTGATTCATCTTTACCACTGGCACTCATACCAGCAAAGTAACACTGGGCTACTGGCATGTCACCAATCGTAGAACGACTGTGTTTTGTTAGTACATTTTCTTCTAGATTTCTTAACTCAAATAATACCTGTAATCAAAGTTGAACGATTAGAATTTAGAACTATAATTTTTATCATGTATAAGACAATATTATTATTGGCGTTATTAGTTTTTAAAGGCAATTGATTGATGTTTTAAGTTAAACGTTTAAGGTTTTTTTTTTTTTTATACTCTAGTAAATTGGTATTTCATTGGAATATTGAAGTATTTTTATAAAAGTTAGTTTTAGCCAAATGACGATTTTTTGTACAATTATATTCTAAGTATGTGTACAAAGCGTAGTTTAAGTTCAAAAAGCATAGTGTAACAAATAATAATATTTTCATGATTTCATTTTTCTTAGAAATATATTGATAATTTAGGATAGATATGTGTTAAAACTTAATTTAAATTTTAAATTGTGTATCAAAAAAAAAAAACAACTTATGATAGAATAAAAGTGGGTTAATTTAATTTTAATCAACAATATATATTTATTCTACTGGCAGGATGGTAATCACTATTGTTAAATAGTTTATTATTATTATTAACATATTAAAAGTATATTTCAATATATAGACTTATTATCATTAATCTCATTGTATTAATTACTGTTTTTTGTTTGTGTATGTTTAAATATAATACCTTCTAACTTTTTTGTCGTTTTTGACCGCAAGCGTTAAAATTAATTTCACGACATAATAAAAGACGTATCCGACGCGTGTGCGGTTGGTAGGGGATGTCTCACGTTCACGAAACTTCAGGGTCGCGTGTGGTTAGGCGATAATAAACGACAATACGCATGCATCTCTTCACGCATACGCTATTTACTTGACTAGAATACAGTTTAAAACATCCGACAGGCATAACCGCATCACCACAGCCTAGCTATTTTTTGTCGTTTTTAATGATCGAAACGAGTGGTCAAGGTCTACTGCACACACGATGGGCGTTTTGTAGCCATGACAATTATTACCACTGTTTGCACGGATTGAAATCGAGAATAACTCATCTACAGACAATCGATCATACATGCCAATCCGTGAAGATAGACGGGCTATAACGAATTTCTAGAACGTCCACATCACATCCGATTATAATTTTTCTCTAATGTGCTTGACGATTTCGTGTGCATTTCGCTGGCGGCTTGTGCGCGGTGTAAGAGGGTGGCGATTAACGTGCAAACGTGCTGTGTAGTGGCGTGGATAAAGGAAGTGTAATTGTTATTACGGGGTTGAGGAGACGGAAGAGGACCCACCGTGTTGTAAAAGTGAACTTCTCTGTAGTCGAACTGGGCCTCGAGCACGAACGCCCGGGAGTAGGGCTCTTGTGGCAGGCTCTTGATGACCACGTCCAGCGAGTCGGTGCCCTCGACGCCGTCCACCGCGTACACGATGTGCACGGCCACTATGGAGCTGAGCACGTTGTGCGGGTCGGACACCGCGGGCGTGGCGATGGTCCGGTCAGCTATCACCGTGACCGCGTCCCGCGGCCGACCGATCAGACGGCTGATGACGCCCGACAACCATTCCGGGTCGGCGGGCAACGGCAACCGCTGGTGCTCGTCGCCGTCGCCCGTGGCAGCTGACGCGGCTGCTGACGACATGGCCGAGGATCGCTGACGATTCCTCGCGGTCGGGGCGGATGGACAGCGCTCGACGTCTGACCGTGCGGCGGCAGTGCGTAGTACGCGTACTACACGACAATACTGGACTCGGCCGCGCGCGCGTTTACGGAGGCGGCGGTGCGATTGCGTGCGCGCGCGTGTGCAAGCCGAGTCGACGACCTGCATCCCCTGAGCCCCCTCTCAGCCGCCGCCACCCTTAACCGCCCGTCGTCCGAGTATCGGCCGCCGTTGACTGAGCTCCCTCTCCTCCGCACACCGGGGGTGACGGCGGGGGGACACGCCGGCAGATCGCGATCTCTCCCCGCCGCTGCAGCTGGTACTACGCGATCTCCGTTCTGCAGTGCGCAGTCTCCCACCCGCCATCTCCCGCACATTCGCGCCGTCACGCTTCGCGCGTCCCGTGGCGCGCCCGACCGCCGCTGTGGGTGTGTGCGAGAGCGTACGTCATCCGTACGACCCATCAATACCACGGAACCGAGCCAGCGCGCCGTGACGTAATTTCGGGACGAGAGAGATACGCGAGTTGGGTACACAAGTCACAAAGCAGATAACGATAGATGAAAAAACCGATAATGATTTTTATACGCTTACGCGGATAATATGTATATATGTAGAACATGCGTATACTGTGGACGGCGATTTGGTGGGAGGAGGAGAGTTGGCTTTGTAAATTGTTGAATATTGTGTTTTGGAGTTAATATAGTTTTCGTCGAGATCACCGCTGTCGTCTCAACAAACATATATGAAATTTTGAAACACTGATAGCAAGGGTGTTGTTGGGCGAATTTAAGAAAAATTCAAGACTGCTTTATGATAACGTTTACAATTTGACTAAATCTTCGTTTTCATGTGGTTTTTGTCTCGTTATCACCAATTTTACGCCCGTTTGATGGTTGACGGTTTATGTTATTAGTCCGAGGACCGGATTTATGTGCACAAAAAATCCTCAAAATATGCTTCTAAAAATGCTGTAATATGCTACAAAATATGCACTAAAAATTTAATCGAAAATATTTTATTTAAAATTATGTAAAAATAAGTAGTAATTAAGTATTAAAAAAGGTGTAAAAATATTTTAAAAACATATTTTATGTTATAAATAATAATATGCACTATAAAACTATTAATATGCTCTAAATATGCATTTAATAGGTAAAACCGTTGAAATATGTAAAATATACAAAATACAATTAATATTATTTTAACAAGATTGATCTAAATCGGGGATAATTCTCATCAGATTTTAAAAATCTTATTCCAATACATATATTATGCATTTGCATATAAATCCGATTCCTTGTCATTATATTGTAGCATTCTCATTTTTCTATTACTTAAAATATAGTGACCCTGTTTAACGAGTCATGGTATTGTTCACCTTCACGAAAGCGATGACAAAAAATTGAAATTTTAGTTTTAATTGCTTTTTCCGTATAATGGTGTATTATTACATTATGTAATTAAGTAATCAAGATTATGATATTTAATTTATACATAAGTAGTATGTTTTTTGTAACGTATTTTTAAAAATGTTAGTTATGTTCATGAATCGCCTAGTATTGATACAAATAATTCATTTTTCATTTTGAATATTTTAAGAGTAATACATATTATTGCATATTTTAATTATAAACATGAAAATGCATATTTTATTTATTTTTAAATATTTAAATGAAATTAGAGGCTATAATATAAGCTACATTATATTATGTTTTTAATTTTAATTTTATAAAATTAATAATTTTGACTTGAAACAAAAAAAAAATGTAAGAATTCTATTGATTTATTAAATTTATTTTAAAATTATAAAAGATTTCTTTGTTATTTACTTATATTTTGGAAATTATTAGAAAATTCATTTTTTATTTCATTATGTTTTTACAGTCGAATTCGCTTATTACGATGCCGTATATAACGATATTCCGGGTAAAACAATTTCAAGGAATTTATTTGATTGGGTTTATATCTTATGTGTATTGTGTAGTACTTTTAGTCGTATATAACGATATCAGTTACAACGATAATCCGGATATAGCAATGTTATTCTGAAATGAAAATGGGGTTTTATGTTCACCTATATAGCAATTAATAATGCATGCATAATTAGTAAATTTAATTTCATTCGAAGCAATAGTTCTTTATCTTATCTGTTACACATATATTGTGTACTGCATACTTATTTAAAGTATCGTCTATTTTGGAAGTGTATTTTTATATTGATCAAGTGCGTACTTTTGTTTCTGTAAACAGTGATACAAATACCCCAGAAGTGTCAATAGCGTTAAAAATATTTCTAATTTTGTTAAAAAATTGTATTCAAATTATAAACAAAGCACTATTTTATATTAAAAATTATAAATATCTTTAATGTTAAAATATATAATCCTAAGTAAAATTATACAGTAAAAATATGTTTAATAAATCAATTTTTCAAAAAAATCAAGTTATCTTTTTATAATCTGGATATAACAAAATCCGGTTTTAACGATCAGATTCTCTAGGTCTCTTGAAGATTGTTATAGACGAGAGGTGGTGAACCTTTTATGGGTCAAGTGTCAAATTTTTCAAATCAAGGTTTTGAAAATTTTTCACGTGCCCAAAGAAATAATATTTTTCAAAGATAAAAATAAAGTTACACGATAAATATAATAATAATATAGTAATATAATACATTTTATAAAGGAATATTATAATTTTTAAATATAATTTGTTTCTTTGAATTTCTTATGACTAACATTTTATAAATAGCATAATTTTTTTAAATTTAAATTTTTCACGTGCTATTGAAATTTGACCTACGTGCCATCTCTGGCACGCGTGTCGTAGGTTCGCCACCCCTATTATAAGCGAATTTGACTGTATATATTTTAGCGTGTTTTGATTAAATGAAAAGTGTATTTTTTTATTTTATAATACATATTATATATAAACCCTAACCTTATCTAAATCCTAAAAATAAGTTACATCAATAAACATACTTGTTAGTCGTCTGAGATATACATACCTTCACGACATTTTTATTTTAACTTAATATGAAAACTGAGTTATTTAATTATAATTATTCATTTATATTCTAGCTTATGCTGTTTTTGTAGACATTTTTGTTTATCTCTGCAATCTGCATAATATTATGTTTATTAAACAAAGTTTTAGTATTTCAAGGTTCTGACCTATATTGTTAATCAATCATACTTATTATTCCATTTAATGAATCCATTGTACTTCAAATTTTTAATCATACTGATCTCTATTCAATAAAAAATATTTTAAGACATTGATAATATTTTATATCTACTTTAAATCTAATTAAAAACATGTTAAATATATATATGTATATAAATGTTATACACTATTATTTTTAACTATTCTTATAATAACTAATGTTTAACAATTTAAAACTTACTATTAGTTATGTTATACTATTGATATACTAAGTAGAAATTTATTATAAATTTTGATTTGAAGGTAAAAAATTTGGTCATTTAAGGTTTGAAGATTTTAAAATTTAAATTGATCTGGGGTGTTATTAAAGTCTGGGGTCATAAGATAAAAGTACTATGTAATTTTACAAATGAAGCTTGGCATATATGTACAATTTAGTCTGTATGCATAAAATATTTGCATGACTTGTAAATCATTTAAATAGATGAATAGTTAAAATATAAATATACTATGGCTAGTTAGTTCTAAACTAATTTAAAATGTATTTTTGTAGCTTATAAGGTATAATCTTAGTATTTAATTTTTCTTAAATATAATTTTTTTTTTCAGTTAATTGCTGCACCAGTTATGGCCAGTTTAGCTGTTGGAATCGGAGTCCCAATACTATTATTCTATGTTTACGGTGTAGTTCCAGTATCTCTGTGTCGCTCAGGTGGCTGTGGAGTTACCACATCATCAAATGGAGTACATTTTGATTTTGATGAAGAGCATAGTGCTCCTAAAACAGTTAATATTGATTACTTCACAACTACTGGTAAGTCAAAATTTAATATTCATCTATTTTAAACACTTGTCTAAATATAAATTTTATTCTGTTTATAGATGGTGATACTGTAAGTCACGGTGCTGAAATTGGTAATCCTTCCATTGGAGAACCATCATTCTGGAATGATTGGGATGGTGATACTGCATTGGGAAGAGATGCTGATCGAGAATCAGCAAGTACTGTTGCATTAGCTGGCAGTTTATTAGCTCACAAGTAATTAATTTATTTTACAAATCAATTAAAATACTTAGTACTATTTTTACTAAAAATTCAAACATTAATAACAAAATATATAAAAATAATATGTGGATTGAATTAGTTATTGAATAAAAATTAAGGATGAGTTGAATTTATATATATACGCAGACTTGAACTTAGATCTTATTTGAACTTTTTTCCATACTTTCAGTTCGTCTAACTTAATAAAATGTTGGTTATACAATATAGAGTGATCTTTTAATCAAACAACACTCAATATTTCAAAATGTATTAATGTTTTTTGAAAATATTTTTTCTGCATAATTTCCAGTCAAAATAAAACAATTTATTGTTACATATTTTTAAGTTTTCATTTTTTTAAATGACATCATGCATTTTTAATTTCATGTTCTGAAGTAGAATATTTTTTGGAGTATTAGGATACATAAAAATTGAAATTTTAACAAGTATTTTATGAGTTAAAGTATTTAAAGTTTATGTTAACAGAGTGAAATGGTACAGAGATATTCTGCAAAATGTTGGCCTTCTATTCTGCTCACCTAAACTTTAAATACTTATAAGTTATAACTCATAAACTACTTGTCTAGAATTTTATGTATTGAAATACTCCAAAAAATATTCTGTTTTAACCTATACAATTCAAAATTTACATAGTCATTCTAAAAATTAAAGAACTAAAAAAATGTAATAAAAAATTTTAAAATCCTTAATTTTTTTCAAAAACATTAATACATTTTGAAATAATAAGTGTTCTTTGATAATAGAATTACTTAGTATAATAATAATGAAACGATGCTTGCTCTTAACAAAAAATAATTTTAATTAATCTGGTGTTGGACCTGAATATTTCAAACTTCATTATGCTCAAACTACTTAAATGTTTTCAAATTTAAGCTTATATTTTTCTCAAATTTTAAACTGAATTAATTTTTCAAAGCTTAAAAAATGTTTATGGGTTTGAAGAGTTTCTAGGATATGTTCCTGATTAACTAAATTAATTTGATGATTTTATACAAGAGTTGACAATAGTGAGACGGCATCAATGCGTTCTGGCCAAAAAACTTCGACTGATGTGGGTGACGAGACACAATCACAATCGCAACAACCTCTCAATTTGTCCTTAAGTTCATTAGAAGAGTTGACTGCCGGATTGATGCGACGGGTATTGGGAAATAGTGATGAAACTGATACTCCAGCAACATCAATTAGATCACGTACTACTACAGAAGTGCGTTTTGGCAATACAGTCAGCATTATTTCTCCACCTGTGATGGACTCCCATCAAAATTTTTTACCTTTGAGGTATTTTGATTGCATATTTGATGTTTTGTAATAAATAACCTTTACATAATTATAAATTATTTCTTGATTTTTTTTAGAGGGTTTGTAAGAAACTTACTCTGTAGAACATCAAGTGAACTACCAGCCAGCTCATAATCATATATTTGTAGTATGTTTTTATCTATACCTATGAAATTATACCATATACAGGGCTTTATATTTTGCTCTCACTTAAACTGGTCTTTCTATTTTTAGTTTAATATTTTCATAAATATTTTGTTTTCATGTGCTTACAACTATATTTGTATAATATATATGTATATATATATATATATATATATATATATATATATATAACTATCATAATTTATTTATCATAAATATATATATTTAATTTTTCCTTTAAAGCGACTGTGATCACTGGGGTTTTATTACTATATTTGTTTATTTGTTTTGTTTTGTTTTTTTTTGTTTTTTTTTTTTTTTTTTTTTGTCACAATTAGTAGATTATTATTACAACAAATGTTAACAATATAAAATTTATTAATTGTATGAAAATAAAAAATAAAATAGAATGAGTTGCATTTTTCTATAACCCAATTTATTTGTTTAAGATTAATTATTACATTACAGCTATTAAAATAATTTTAGAAACCAAAATATTGATAATTGTGTTATTTAATTATTTTCTTGTCCCATATATGTGTTCTAAAAATATATTTTAGTTAAAAGTGACTTACAATAAATATAAAAAGATAAGAAAAAACTTCATTTTTAAATATTGATGAAATATTGAGAATATTGATGTAATAAATTAATTACTCTTTAATCTGTTCTCTTAAGGTAAGCTGCTAAGTCTAAATACAATTGAGGTGAAACTAATTTACAAAATTGTACATTTGAAATGTTTATGTTAATATGTCTGGAGAGTGTTATCCTATCAATAGAAAATTCTCCAAGGTATAAAAAAAGTAACTAAAAAAATATGTACTTTAAAATCCTCTTCTCAAATATTTTACCATATCGACTATCTACTTACAGCATTTTACCCTACGAGAGCAGATTTTTCAATTTATTATTAAAGTTCAATGATTATTAATGCTGTGTATAGTGAATGTTAATAATGTAATAGTATATATTTAGTCAAATTAAAAACTGTCAATCTTTGTCTATTAGTATATTTTAAATATTTAATTGATTAGGTAACATACAAAGTTGTAAGACTAAACTGTATATGTGGAGTAAATTGTATTAAAGAATGTTACAAGTATACAAAAGATCTTGCGTTTCTCCACTATTTGTAGATGACACAAAGTATAATGTACTTAATAACTGAAATCCGGATTTATTATAAACATATAAACATTTAATATGTGTTTCATATAGTACTGCATATTGGCCAAAACAGACAAATGTTCATTAATCATACTATAATTACATTTTCTGATTATGTATTTTCAATTTTGTATAATATTTACTAATCAAACAATTTGATTATTATTATTAAAAATTATTACCTAATGAATGTTTAATAATAATTTTTATTTTTTATTTTGTAATATTCTAACTGTTATAATGTTCTAACAGAGTTTCATGAAAAATAAATAAATTAAATGTCCGACATGAAATGTTTTTATTTATTAAATCTCCATCATTGTTGATATGTTGAGTACATATTATGAAATTATGTCATGTGATACTCCTGTCTGTGGCATGGCAGAGAATAATCTATTAGCCCTATTAAAGATGTAGTGTTAGATGTTAATAAAATTGTATGTTTAGCTATTTTTAAAACATATACAATTATTAATTAGTAATTAGTAATTACTGTGCAACGGTTATAAAATCATTATCAATGAAATACTAAAACATGTGGTTTTACTAGTTACTGTCAAAAGTTTAATATAATATGAATAAAGTGATAATTAACAATACATTATATTTGTAAGTGTCAGCTATACACACTTTTTGTAATTTTGAAAATGAGATAGTTAAGATTGTAATTTTTATGACTTTATATTAACTTAAAGTAAAATAATAAACAATTGATTAAAACATTTTAATTAACTATAATTTTTTTGATGAATATGATAATAAGATGAATAGATAATTATAAATATTTGTTTCATAATAATATAGGTGATAATATATAAACCCTAATTAAAGTACACAAATTATTTTCATACATTTAATTTAAGTTTATCACCATGATAAAAATCCATGTTCTACACTAAACATATATATTTTTATACCAGCAAAGTCATTTGTTAGGATTTTAGAAAAAATAAAGTATTTATAAGTAATTTTTGTCAACAGTACAATTTATTCACTAATTTTCTTAATCTCTTTGAGTGATACGTTTTTATTTTAGTAATTTTATGACCAAAACTTAGAATATGCAAAAGAATAGAGCATATAAATAGTTGAAAATACTAGATTACTTCCACAAAAATACATTATAAATATAAATGTAATTTTATTTTTTGACATTATACAATAGTTATTCATACATAATTCACATTTTACTTGACGACTTAAAATTATAGTAATAAGAAGTTATTATTTTAATAAATATATCAACTGTTTAATTATTTTTATAGGAAAAATATACATTTATTGTAACAATAAAGAAATGGGTCTTAAATTAATATTACAATATTAATTTCGGACAATATCAGCTTAGACTCATCAAGTAATGTAGAAATCATCGGGGGACTTTAAAAATGTACATATAGGGGTTCAATTATTTAAAGTTTTAACACTGAAATTATAAACAATTTGAATGACATAAACACTGCCAATAGGTATACAGTATTATGATATAACGTTATGATATATGAATTTATATTTTGTATTTAATAGATAATGAAAATTCTATAAAATCTTTTTAAACATTTTTTTTTCAAGTGAAAAACAATGCATTTGCATAGCCTTATTTCAAAAATTTGAAAATATATCACGGGCAGATCCAAAAGTGGGGCAAAGATAACACCCCCCAAATTACATAAAAAATAAAATATTATTGGATATTATTGGACCTGGATCCATTCCTAAAATGTGGTTTATTAGTTAAAATAGTGGAACAATACTTCAAATAACATGTTGTAAATACATGCAACAACATATTGTAAACTTAACATACAATATAATAATTTTCATTATTAATGACTAGTTAACAATTTACAAAGTTATCTTAGCTTTAAGTATAAAACAAAACTTCATATAATCATAAAAACCATTAAATTTTACAGTTATTAATAAACTAATAATAGTGACACAAAAAATTATAATAAAAAAAAAAAAATAATATTATCTAAACATGAACTTAAAAAATTAGTTTTAACCGCTAGGTTACTCCTTTTATCACGTGATTCATGTCATACTTAATTCTAATTCATATTCTTATTGTAAAAAACTAATTTACAGATTGTAAATAAACTAATAAAAAAAATAAAATAAAAATATTAGTTCCTAATACCTAACAACATGTAATTAATGTATAGTTTAATTAATTAATGAATCTATTTTTTTATGTATTCAAAGTAAGATTTATAAAAGGTGATGATCAGCTTATACTAGGCAGCATCAGTTTGTTCACTGTTTATTTCAGGAGGTGACAGGGAAGAGGGATTATTACCCACTGGAGAAAAATGTAAGGCTTACTACACGTCAACTAACAATAAAATAAAATAAATAGTATGATAGAGGGTCTAAAATAAACACAGAGTTTGTTACCTTTACAGTTAAACATCTGCATACCTATTATGTAGTAATGCCATGCCCAAGCATACAAGTCAGCAGTTGAATAATATGGGGTTCTTCACTTTAACAGTATATAGGTTAGAGAATTTTATATTGTCAACACAAAGAAATAATTAATAATAATTTTGTACTAACTACCAATTCAACAGTTATCTAATAAGTAATATCTTAAGTAAGTCTATTTTTAAGTATATTATTGGTCATACTTAGAGGTGATTCTGGTACTGTATCTTATTTTATATAGGTAATACATAGGTGTAGTATGCTATCGATACCTTCACGTCCTATAATAGTTAAGTAATATAGTATAATTATTATCTATTACATAAGAATTTTACTTAATTATGTATTTTTTGGTATATACTGTCTAGCAATAAATATAATTTTATTAGAAGTTAACTTAACAATTAATAAATTATAACAAATAGTATAAAATGTTTTTTCCATACTATTGGAAACAAAGACACTTAAATAAGAATGTCAGAGATTAGTCATTCAAATGTTTGTGTTTGATTTATTTTTAAGATTTTAAAATACCCTTTAAATATTTAAGAAAATACAATAATATATAATATAATACATAAAGAAAAAAAATATTTAAGGTACCAAGAGTTAATTATTATAGTTATCATTTAAGATGTAGGTAACATATCTGTTATTCATAGTATACAACACCACCAAATAATTTTCTAATAACATACAACACTTGTTCCACTTAATAATGTTCAATGATAGTTATTTATGGAGAATGGAAAATAGAGTTCACGTGTCCAAGTGTGACTTCAGTCTCACCTTGATCATAATTTTGACTGTGAGAAGGTAACTGTAACGTATCATGCATAGTATAAGAACTAAATTCCTGAAATAAAAAAAAATATGGTATCATTATTTATTTAAAAAAAAATATGATTAAAACAATTATTAATATTACCGGTTTGCTATTAATATGTGAAGGTTTCAGTGAAGATACTAATTCTAAGGTTACTGGTTTCCGGCGTATTTTATCTATTTCTAAGTTGTCATCATGATTGGATCTCTTCTGTCTAGGATTTCTACATCCTTTACACTTGCATTGTTCACAAGGTTTTTGTTCTGTATAACAAGGGCATCTTTGTCCAAAGCATGTTAATTTGCCAGGAGTAGTTGTAGCATTACCACATCGGCAGCCCCAACGACGTTCATTTTTCTGTTAAAACATAAAATATTTAAAGTAAAAATAAAAAATAAAAATGTATTCAAACCTTTTTTTTAGGAATATTGTTGAATTCAGATTGATTTTGAATTTTGTGTTCTTGGGATTCTTCATCAAATTTTTGCAAATTAATATCATCAAATGATGTCGGGTTTTCAATAGGCAGTTGAACATCTGACGATGAAATTAACATTTCATCTTTAATATTTACTTCTTCTGTATCTTGTTTATTTACTGTACCATTAATAATTCCATTATAGCCATTCACTGATCGAGATAGACTAATAACTTCAGTTATTAATTCTACTAACTGTTTGTCTTCATCTCTTGTGCACATTACTTTATACACAGGCGTGCTTTGTAAATAAGCACACAGTTTCTTATAGCATTGTATTAATGCACTAGATGCATTTTCAGGTATCTGATGATTAATACACGCTGAACATGCATATCCATTTAAATGGGGATTCAATCGGTCAACTAATTTATGGCATACCTGACATGATAAATGTTTGTGTAACTGTGGTAACAAAGTGTGCAAACTTTGCCAGGTTGATGGATCCGTAGATTTGGCTTGAAATACGATCCGGCTTGTTTTCGTGTACAATCGAAAGATTTCCATTACACTTAATCGTATAAAATGCACTTACTAAATTGTAACACTAAGCCGAAAATGTTTGTAGGTTATTTTTATGGCAAAATAAAAGATTCAACTTCACCTAAAAATCTAATGAAAAATCATTTTGTGATACTCAACAGTTAACATTCGTGTATTAAACAAGTATTAAATGTGTAAGTGCACAAATAGGTACGAACTACGAGGTAAATCTTTGTTTACAACAGTCCGTAAATATACACGTTACTCTGTGTTCACTATTCGAGTTATTCAACAGTATTTCGTATATTCTAATCACTAATTCACTATCGCGGGTACAATCGGTAAATTTAGAGTCGGTCTTTTTATCATTAGGATTTTGTTTATAATTTTACTCAAGGTTGCCAACCACTCGGCAAATAAAACAAACGACAACGTGTTGCACATGCACACGATCTTAGATCTTCTAAAGACCGTACACAATACACATACTGCACATGCAGCATCGGGCTGTTTTGTAGTCTGTAGGCGCCAGGCGGTAGGCAGTTTAAAATCAATAAAATGCGATTATTTCAATTTATCGAATTTTAATTGAAATACTTTAATACATGGTCAAAAACACCGTGTGCGTGGAATCTCGTGAATATTCTGAATGCGTGTGCTCTAGGGTAAAAAAGTTTAAAATCAAGAATGTACATGATGAAATTGTTTAAAATTTAAAAAAATCAGATTTTAGAAATTAGCCAATCATTTACATTTAACTAGATGGTTACTCATATATAAAGATACAATTATTGTAGAATTATTGAAGCAGACGAAGAACAGATAGGTCAAAAGACATTGGGAAACCTCCAGCAGCAAAAAAAAGTTTGTTAATTTTCATGAAAAGTTAAAAAAATATATTATATAAGGAGTATAAAAATAATGAAAGAAATGTTGACATTATTTTATATGTTTATGTGTTTATCATTGACCTTTATAAATTTTAACTCATTTAAGTAAATCATTTTTGTTTTGTGTTACAAACAAGAAATTAATACTATATTATTAAAGACAATTTCCAATACCTAATAATAGATTTATAACTTAATTAAAAAAAAAACAAATATAAATTGCTTCTTTTCAAAATGTAAATTATGTTACAAATAAAAATTAATAAATATATAGGTATATCTATATATTAATTCTATTTTTGGTCTAAACAACTTTGCCATAGACATTTTTAGTTTTTACTTAGATTTGCTTAGTAGGATACAGTAGTCGCCACTTGGCCACTAACCATTCGGTAGGAAAATTTATATCATTAACCATTTATTTGCTCTATTCTTCTGCCTGTGTACTAAAATTTTAAAGATTTTTTTTAACATTTTACCCTGTTAAGATTAAAATTAAATACTTAACGTTATTTATGGCTGTAGATACGTTCGTTAAAAATACATGTCCCCCGTAGCTTGCACACATTAAAAGATTTTGATTTGATACATGAAGTCACGAAAAGAATCAAAAAGTATTTCGGTAATACGAGGTCCTAGAATATATGACTATTATTTTGTTCTATCCGAAATTTGGATTTTTTGCGCGACTCAATAGTTGTAGATACTTTAAATACTATAGTCTATATTATAGTAATAATTATTAATTATTACTGTTCATAACAATGATAAATTAAATTAACTTCATAATACTGTACTAATAATAGTTTACGGTTGGGGGGCTTTGGTTCTTTGTTTTCATTATACCTACTATAGTACTATTGTCTATTAGTACTCTACTATACGTCTATACCCAGTGTTCTAGTACCTACTTATTAGTTATTACTTATAACTTAATTACAATGTTTTTATTACGCTAAGTAGTAAGTTAAGTAGTAAATTCCCTATCACTTTCTGTCGGAAATAGTTTCTGGTGTTTCTGCGCAGCGTATTTATAAGCTTTGAAATTTATATTGTAGTAGGTAAGCTGCTATCTATACATTCTATACTCTATAGTATAGAGTATAGACTACAGTATTATACTATTATATTAAGTACCTATTTATCATAAACATAAAAATATGATATTTATTTATAATCAATGATACTATTTGTGACACGAAAATATAATATTTTGAAGCTAATTATAATATTTTAATACAATTTTGCATTTTGTTGATGTCATCTAACGTTTTTGGTAATTCTAGTTTAACGCTTTCTCTCTTGCACATATCTTTGTTTCATGTTACTCCAAGAGGCGCGGTCTTTTTTTTTTTTGTCGATGTTGTTCCGTGATGTTGATAAACTGTTTGTTAGGTTATGTTCAAAAAGCTTACTATCAGTAAGTTGTCAGTTATATATAATAATAATAATTAATAACTATAACGATGATAGATATAATAATAATAATTGTTAGCTGATACTTGGATGTCTGATAATAATAAATAATACATATTTTATATTACATTATTATTTAATAATAATAATAAGTAATAACTATTAACAAATAATAACTATCAACTGGTAAATTCTCAAAGCCCGAAAAGGACTATAAATAATAATAGCGAATAGTGATTTTAATTTTTAATATTTATTTAATCGATTAGGGAGATTTCCAATTTGGCCGTTTACATTCAATTTCTGACTTACGACGGTGTACTGTGCGCTGTGTGGTAAAGATCTGAATTGTATCCACGTCCCACAAACGGCACAAACACAAATTAGTAATTACGCTCATTCTGAACTCTGAAGCAAGAAGCAATAAACGTAAGTTAAATTCATAATTTTAATTACTTATTTTATTTTGTTTTGCATTTATAGATAGCTAAAAACAATAATTATTGAATATGAAACGATGATTTACATCTATCTGATTCATTATGATCACTAATTGACCTTTAATAATTAATGAATTATTATATTAATAAATTATTTATTATTATAAACAATTAAGATTTAGGGTTGACCATTAATATCAAACCTATGGATATGGTGTTGTATATGAGTTTGTTAGCCATTATAACTGATACCACTGTTAACCATAGCTTGTAAAATTGACACATTTGTTTACTTTCTTGCGTAGATGTTAGTTTCTTTAATACTCAGATATTTTTATGCAAAAGAAAACCATAGTTTTTCTTTCTCTAATGTTAGTCTATAATTTTATGTATAGTGAAGATCAAAATGCTGTATCCATATGTTAAGTATCAATGGAGTTGACTTTAATTGAATAGGTACTTTTTTAAAAACTGATGTCTTTTTGATACGTGTTTTTTGTTATTTTAAGACATATACTTTATGACATCACAGTTATATTATACATTTATCACCATTTAGAATTTAAAATTTTTTGATATTCATTATTAGTTACCACTCTTATTCAACCATCGCTTATGTAAAAATTATGATTTTAGTATAATAGTTAAACCTAATTGATCAATTTGTATTTGCTTAGTCTTGACATTGACTATGAATACTAATTGAGTTATAATTATTGTTATTATCTTTAATGTTCACCATATACTCTTAGTACTTGTATTTGATTATTTAATGTAAATTAACTAAGAACATTTTTCATTATTATATTTTTTAACTATGTTTCTCTAGTTGAGAGAAAGATATTGCAAATGAACCAATTACACATGCTAAATAAATTTCATCACTTTCTGTGCTTTAAATCTTCATTTTTGTTTAGTTTGAATTTTTGGTGTTTTTAATTTGTGTTATTTGATTGAAAATTACATTATTAAAATATTACCTATTTAATAAAATAAAATAAAATATTCCATCCTTTAAGTTAAGCTGTTTACAACATTATTCAGTGATTTGTATTTTTTGTGTTTTGTGAATTTTATAGGTTCTTTACTTGATACTAAAGTTACTTAACATCTGAACATTCTTATAAACTCTAGAACCATGTCAATGTCAAAGTTTCATCAATTGTCTTCATTTGTTTACAAACAACAGAAAAACTTACGTATGATGTCAACATTGTGGTCAAATGTTCAGCAAGGACCTCCAGATGCTATACTCGGTGTAACAGAAGCCTTCAAACGTGATAAAAATCCACAAAAAATTAATTTGGGCGCTGGTGCATACAGGGATGATAATGGTAAACCTTATGTATTGCCTAGTGTAGTTCAAGCTGAAAATCTGTTGGCAAAAAAAAATTTGGATAAAGAATATGCTCCAATAAGTGGCTTATCTGATTTTTGTAATGAAGCTATAAAATTAGCATTATCTAATGAATCCCCTATTATTAGTGACAAACACTATGCTTCAGTTCAATCTATATCAGGAACGGGTGCTCTAAGAGTTGGTGCTGAATTTCTTTCAAGATATGCTCCATTGAAAACTATTTGGGTACCTACTCCCACCTGGGGTAACCATAATCAGATATTTAAATTTTCTGGATTAGAAGTTAAATCATATAGGTATTATGATCCTAACACATGTGGACTTGATTTTGCTGGAATGATTCAGGACTTATCTTCTGTTCCATCGGGTTCAGTAGTTATATTACACGCATGTGCTCATAATCCAACTGGTGTTGATCCAAAACCAGAACAATGGAAAGAATTATCCACATTGTTCAAAAGTAAAGGTTTATTCCCATTTTTTGATATGGCTTATCAAGGGTTTGCTTCAGGAAATGTTGATCAGGATGCTTTTGCTGTTCGTTCATTCTTATCTGATGGTCACCAGATTGCTTTGGCTCAGTCATTTTCTAAAAACATGGGCCTGTATGGAGAACGTGTAGGATTGTTTTCATTAACAACTTTGAATAAAGATGAAGCAGACCGTATTGTATCCCAATTAAAGATAATTGTACGTGGTATGTATTCGAACCCACCAATACATGGAGCTAGGATTGTGTCCGAAATATTATCCAATCCTCAGCTAATGAACCAGTGGTTGGTTGAAGTGAAGGGCATGGCAGATAGAATAATATCAGTCAGACATCAATTAAAAGACCTTTTAAGCAAGGAAGGCTCTATAAAAAATTGGGATCATATAACAAATCAGATAGGAATGTTCTGTTACACTGGACTCAGTAAAGATCAGGTTAAAAAGTTAATTGATCAGCATAGTGTATATTTAACAAATGATGGTCGCATATCGATGGCTGGTGTTACTTCTAAAAATGTTGGTTACTTAGCTAGTGCAATGCATAAAGTTACTTGTACTTAATTAAAAAAATAAATAATATCTATAGATACAATGGTATGGTAATCCATAGAAAATATTACACCTACTTTCATACTTTGTAATCATTGATATTATATTTTGTAATTCTTTGTTTTACTTAAATGTATTTTAATTCACATTTTATTTTATAAACATGCATTAAATAATAATACTACCTATTGCATAATTTTTGTGTTAGGTTACTGTCAAATAAAGTATAATTTTATTGACTATTATTCTTTGTTTTTATTTTTAGAAGTATGTAGTTATTGTTACAATTAAATTAATGTTTTGATTAGCTTTGTTAAGAGTTTTAAATTTATACATGGTGTATCTTAAAATTATGGAAGCAGTGTTTAAATTAACTAATTTAATTAAGTTATCAAACCAAATTTATCATAGTAAAATTTAATTTTAAAAAGTGAACATATATTTTGGTTAGCAGTTAATCAGAATCATTGATCTGGTAAAATTTTTAAATACAGTTTGAATTTTGTTTTGTTAATATTTCATTATGTATGAATAATAAAAAAAAGATTTCACTTTAGTGTTTATTCTATCTAATTTCATGTTATTAATTTTTTATGATCAATGCTAAGTGAGTTACTTTTAAAATAAAGATAAATTACTTTTTAATTGGAACAAAAATTAAGAGCACCTAGTAAAATGTGACCTATTTAACATATACTAATGGACACTGCTTACTAGATGATAGCAAATAAATCTTTATCTGTCCTATAATATTAATATTTAATATTATATTTGAAAATACCATCTTTTCCGAACTGTTGCTTTTATAAACATTAACACCCATTATTGGTATTATGTTGTGATTAAATAAAATATTTGAATGTATGTACAGTTAAATCATTTTATATTGCTTTTATTGTTTAATACCTCTATGGTTAACAATGAAACCGTTAAAAACTTTCGAATTTTAAATGTCAAAATCTATATGTTTAATTGTATCATCTTTAATTCAGAATATGTTAAGTATATTTTTCTAAAAATAACATAAATGTTGATCAAATATTGTCTGATAAGCTTTGCTATTTTAGATAAGAGAAGGGAAGACTAGTACTTACATTTCTTAAATTATTCATTTACCAATCATTTATTTGATACTATTGATAATATCGAATTTGATACATCAAAATTTAAAAAACTTATATATTTTATTTCAAATTGTGAAATATTAGTATAGTTTGGAGATATAAAAAGTTTAAAATCTATGATTCTTTTTCTAAAACATGCAACTGATTGTGTTTTGCATAACAAACTTCATGATGTGTTTATACTAATATATCCTATGCATATGTGGCGTACTGGCATATGTAGAATACGTTTATGTGGGGGAGGGTTATAAATTACAAAAACAATTTTTCATTATTTTATATCTTAAATTCAAAATCATATAGAACGATTAAATTTAAAAAATATAAATTTTATGGTCTAACAGCACTTAGCAATTAAATATTAATTCGTTTTGATGCTTTTGATAATTCATCAATTACAGCGTCTGTTGAGATTTCAATATTTCAATGAATATTTATCATTGCTAATTTATTTAAGCGGTTGTATTTCGTAGATAGGTGTAAAAACAGCGAAAAAAAAGTTTTTTTTGGGTGGCCGTTGTCACTGATAAAGTCTAAGTAACAAGAATAAGTTTTCGTACAAAAGGAAATATTTTTTCATTACATACAAATAAAGCTAAATGAGCATTTTTAAAATTTTCATTCATTTGGCTTACATACTTCTACTGTAATCTATGTTCTCTGGTACTTCTAACTTTATTGTTCACTGCATTTATTTGAAGATTAAATATGTATTTATCTTTATATCAAACTGCCTGATTAAAAGTTGATAACGGCGATGTTATATACACACACCAATATATCTGTATATACACGTAAGTATTTTTCCTGTATAAAACCGTTTAATAAAATGTAACATAGTACAACACTAATTATTTTTCGGCATGATGATTATTACCTATACGTTAAATGTAATATTTTATAAAATAAATCATTATAAAATACACATGTTTTTACTTATTGGGAGGGAGGGTTAAACCCTTAACCTCTTCGACTGTACATCATTGACATATGATGTACCTAATAGTTTTTTATACATTTTAATATAATAATATTTGTATTATATAATATGTTTAAAACATTATTATACTTATATATTAATAAAAATATAATTTTGACGAGAATTGTTTATCTTCAAGTTTACTTTTATTTATATAACGTGTAGATGTAGGAACACACGCCACACACCTATTTTACTGTAGAAATATATTAATGTATTGTATAAGTTAACAAATTTATAACTTCAAATCAAGTTATTACCTTTAGTTGGTATAGCTGTAGTATATTACCCAAGACTTTTTCTCGCGCTTCAATTATTTTTATGATTTTTTTTTTTTAAAATTAATTTGTCAACTAATCTAATCATTAATATTAGACATTTTATAAGCAGAGAAAAATATATAAGAAAACCTATTATATCTATTGATCCGTTGAATTTTGTGTATAACTCATAACAATGGAATATATACCAATACTATTCAGTTCAACTTTTTATTTAGAATTATTAACGAATTGCTAGAATAGGATTTTATAGCACTTACAACAAATATCGTGATTTATCGGAGAGTGTAAATAATTGAAGTTTAAAGGTTTACAAAAATACTATGTAAATAAGCATTTATGTAATATTTTGATTTTTGAATTGACTAATTAAGATAAGTACATAGTGATATTACTATATTAAGTACCTATAGCGGTTATTTGTAGCTATATAAATAATTATTATTTTATAATAATAAAAAATGTTATTAAATTTATATAAAATACAAATATGTTTCATCATTATAAATCTTTTTTATTTCGTTCTATAAAAAATGTATTTTTAAATTTTTCATGACTAAGAATATTTATAACTTGATATTTTGGGTACACAAATAAAGGATTAAAAATACTGATTTTCTGGATCTCGGGGTATTTACTATAATATTAAGAGAAACGAAAAAGCAGATTTGGGAGCAAAAAATCAACAACACCTCTTCTACTCACCTCTCTTTTATCAATAATATCCTAAAACAATGTTCAATTATTAATTAAAATCAAATGCCGTCACACTTGACTAGCAAGCTGGAATCTTCAAATTACTAAACTCCACGAGATAAAACAAAATATACTATCATGGGTTTTGGCCACATCTACCGAACATGTCAAGTAAAATGTAAAATTGAGGTAGCGATATATAGGCTTCACATCGGCTATCCTCAAATATCTCACAGCTTTTTATGAACAAAGAAAGATCCATCTATTTCTTTTTTCAAGTGGAGCAATCGTAAGTATCAAAAAAAAAAAAAAAATACGATTGGAATGCCCTTACACACGAAGAATTCAGAGAAAAATCCAATTTTTCAGAGCATATCTCCACATCACTGAGCAACTTTTTTGACAAAAAATTCAATAGTCGATTTCATCATCACTTCAAAGTTAAATAAATTGTAAAATAAATCACTGGACAAGTTTTTTATAATCTCTTTTTTATATATTTTTATAATATGAATAGTTTCTTCTTAAATCCCAATGGCCTTTGCTTCTAAAGTTTACTTGTAATATTAATAATAACAATAAAAAAAGACATATTTTGTGTAATGGTATTTTAAAAGTGTAAGACATTTATGTATTATTATGTTTTTATAATACCTATTTTATTCGTATTATATTTTATTATATTTTATTTATACGCTATTCTTTAAAGTTTAAACTAATGTGGGTGTGTAACGCATGTGTTAGGTGTAAAATGTAATCGGGATATTCATCTATTTTGGACACATCTGATTTCCTAAATTCGTGTATATGTTTCCACATAAATAAGCATTAATATAACGGTTATAGTTATATATTCGGCTAAATATAAACTCCTACACGAATAACCTTTTTACCTGAAAAATCATTAAATGTAAACTCCTACACAAATAATCTTTTTACATTTTTACCTGAAAATCAAAGATACACTTATCTCCTACATTTTTACCTGAAAAATAGGGTAATATTCTTGAATTCACGATTTTGGAGTTGAAAAGCTCAAAAAGTTAAAAATTATCATAACTTGAAAATAATAAATATATAAAATACAAACACTTGAATAGAGTATTTACAGAACGAATTGTTAATAAATTAGCGAAAGTAATTAGTATGGTATCGACACAACGCAAACAAACAAAAATAATTTAAAAATATGAATTTATACTTACACAATAAAATAAATATGTAGGTACAAGGAGAAATTTCACGTTTAGAGTTTATCTCCAAAGTACCTACAAAAATTATTTACCAAAAAAAAAATTTTATTAAAAAATTTATACCACAAAAATAAACGTAAATGATTATGAGTTATGATTATTGTTTTATTAAATTTTTTTATAATTTTCAAACAATTTTTGTTTTTAGTTCATATACTTGTGTTTAATATTATGCATTAATACTGATATATTTTTACAGTGATTGAACGGTAACTTTTTTTTCATATTTTGTAGGAGTTAACACTATGTCTATATTTTTTTACATTACATTTATAGGAGTTTACTATTTCCCATATATTCATGAAGTTATTTTATCTTATATTTTGAGCTAATGAGGGAGCTAAATATCGGTCTATTATGCGTCTATCGCAAAGTTATTTTCAACGTATTGAAAAGGTCAAAAAGTGTCATCCAGCGTCTATCTCTTTATATTTATTCTGATTACTAGAATATTCTTTCTATAAATCTCGGATTATTTAATTTTAAAATTCACGTAATGGGTATAGAATTGTTTTAAAAAATTTTGTTTAATCTACTTACGCTTAATTCAATAGCCAAAACCAAAAACACGAATTTAAAATTTAAGATAATATGTTTTATAATACGTTCATGCATTGAATCAAATTTTGAATATAGGCCTTTTTAACGAATATTTGAGTGTCGTTTTCGATAACATAAAAATTGTTGAGTATCAATTACTACATTATTTAATAAAATTATTCGAGAAGGGTTTTAAACTTTTTACTTTGTATACATTATTACATATCTACATGTAGTAAACATTTAATTATTAAGCAGATTTATTTTTGTGTTTAAATGTTTAATGAAAATTTAAAAACCATTCTCTATATATCCACTATATAATGTAGTCAAACATTATCTCCCTTCCCGGCTTGTCATTTTAATACCTTCGTAACTAATTCGTATTTTGTCCAATCAAGGCAATACCCTGAATTTTTCTCAGATAATATAATATTGAGTCAAATTACTGATACTGCGTATATATACATAAAAGGCGCTTACGGCTGCGATGATTAATTTATAATCCGTATACGGTTTTGTTTTAGGGTGTCAATTCGTGAGATAGTATTAATCCCTCAGGTTTGGGGAGGCAGCTGAAAGATGGCGTTGAGTTGTTTATGAATAAAAAGAAAAGGAAAACGGTTGTATCTTTATTTTAGAATTTTTCCCATAAACAGCGTTAGTACAACGTAGAAAAACTAGTAGAACTTGTATACTAAGTATAGTCATCGTGTTTTATATTAATAGCTAGGTATCGAATTCTGCTAAATATAATTTTTTACATTTAATAAACATATATATTTTAACCACCGAGAATCAACTATTTACTATATTATCTATAAACAAACTAATATAAATGTTTACGTGTATGGTAGATACTAGATAGTGACTAGGTACTCATAATGGTCTAATGCTCTACGCATGATACATATATATTATACATATAAATATATTTATAATTTTAAAATAACATTTTTGTGTATCAAATTGTTGAACCCATTGTTTAGTATAATGTGTAATATTGATGTAATTGATTTTATGTTTTACATTATTGTGGAAATTTGTAAATTATCGGTATGCAATTATGTATATTATAGGTCATACACTAGGCAATTAACATAAGCATGCTTATTCTCTTTTTCCTTTTCATAATGCATTTAATATTTTTATTGTAATTTTTAAATTACAACATTTAAAAAAGCTGGTAGGAAGGCAAGTGGGTATCGCTTTACTGCACATTAGGTGTAAAGTGAGTTACTATTATGGGTGTGTTAAATTTGAATTAAATGATATATTATTATGTAAAAAAGCAAGCGGAGCAGTCTTTTAGCTTATATCAATAAGCATATTTCATATTTTCATTCTATTATTTTTTGATGTACTTAAACATAACTATTTAAGTGATTTATTTGTTTTAATATTATGGTAGGTTGGTATGTTTTTACTTTTTTTCCTAAAATATTGCATTTATTAAATTAAATAATATATATTTTTGCCATATTATGTTAACTTATATGACTTTGACATTTAATATCGTTTTTTTTTTTTTAATACCGTAAAACAGTAAAAAATAGATTCATAGTATAAATATTAAAATAAATTAAAAATGTCATTGCCTATAGTGATTTTCATAATAATAGAATATACCTACGTAAAAGTTATGAGTTCCCATGAGCATTGTTTTATAATAAGATAATTAATATCGTCCAAATTTGAGCTTAAAATGTTCGTAAAAAATAATTATATTTATATAATTTTATAGTTTTATGAGGGACTTGTGAAAAGTTTTTAATTACTATGGCTCAGCAAACATTTTTTTATCGATATTTATAGAAAAAAAAAAATAATAAAAATTTGCCATGCCTATAAATAAGTTAAAAATAGTTAAAATTTTATCGTATAATAAATATGATAATGTAAATATTTAGTGAAAATTGCATTCCTTTTTCGAGTTACAACAAAAGAACAAAATAGATTTTGTCAAAAATTGGATTTGTTTAAAAATTTAGTTTTTCTGAAATTTTTTTTGTTTTTTTAAATTATAAAAATATTACCAACATTACTTAGAATTTTAAAGTATCAACTAGAACTAACTTGCAAACAGAAACCACTTTCGTTTTTGAAAATCAAAGAATTTTTTCACAAATAGTGATAAAAGAAAAACTCATTATTGTAAAATTAATACATTTATAACTTTTAGCTTACATTTTATTTACATTTTTAGCTTTAGGGCTCTGAACTTAAGGTAACTGTTTTAGTCAATTATTATTAAAATATGTGTTATTATTTGAAAGAAAGAAGCTTACGTCATTAATTTTAAGTATCTAGAAATATATGGTATTAAGTGCCTAGACTTAAAAATTCCCAAAAGTCATAATTTAAAAATGCATTATTTGAAGAAGAGGAGAGGATGAAAATAATTTGCTCTTCATTTTGTTCTTCATTATTATTTCATTTTAAATAAAAATTCAAAAGCACATATGAATATTTATAATAAACGTTTGATGGTTTCGCGTGAAACCTTGTTTAATCATTATATTATTTTAATATAAAAGGTATCTAATATATAATTTATATTTATTAGGTACGCCAATATTTTTGAATATTGGAAGTTGTCCATACAATATCATTAATATGGATGTATAGGTAGATATTGATTGAATTTTAGGGGGAGGGGCTTAAATCTTTCTTTGCGTTGTTGTAAAATAGGTACCTATTTAATACTTTGAAAAATGTTCAATAATTTGGGGGGGTTTTGGATTTTTTTTACTGTCTATGTATAGATGGTATAACAATACATAAAATACTTGAATTATAAAATGCGTTTATTATTGATGTATGTTTATGATAAATAATTTTAAAAAGTCGTGCTCAGTGAATCACCACTTTATAAGGTTGGGTGTTTATCAATTTTATACTTTTAAGTATTCGATATTATTATTCTTTATTTTATAAGATCATATATTTAAAAAAAAATATATTCGTTAATAAATAATAACTATTGTTTTATTTTAAAAACTATACTTACTCATATTTAATGCTAGGATGTCTACATAATACATATATATATATATATATATATATATATATATTAAAATTTAACATTGATTATTGTTTCCTGATGTTAATTAGTTATTAATTATTATTATTAATAAAATATTATATAGTTGTAGTTTTATTATTTTTAAAAATTGTTGACGTCTCAAATTGTTGATATTATTTTTTTTTGCACTGGGATATTTTGTATTTTAAATGAGTGTGAGACCTTTACCTGTAGGTCAAACGTCCCAGTTCACATAAGTAAAATATAGTAATTTTTCATTAAAACTAACGGCAAAGTAAAAATACTTAAAAGTTCTTCTTGTTTGTTCTACGATAGACGATATCATAATACAAATCGTTAACGGTTCGTGTACGTCAGTCTGGTAAATAACGCAAAAATTTGCAGGTGTTTTGGATCGATAATCTATTTCCTGTTTCATATTGTTCGATCGTACTTAAATTATCGTTATTATTAAAGCTGAGGTTTAATGATTTTGCATATCGAAAATTAAATGACATAGGTACTAATTAATTTGATTCGTTGCACATCACCGTTCTGGAATAATTTATTTTGCACAATATTTTTTTTTCATGATACCTATATGTACATATTTAACGCATATTATTTAAAAAAGATACTATAATATGTATTGATATGTACACGCCATATACATAGTGTACAATGACGTCTACTGTGAATTAATTTCATTACATTTTACAGGATTTCGCTTATTTTTTTTTTTTTTTATTTTGTACAAATTTTTGGCGAATGTTTCTCATTTTTCCGGTGCATAATCGAACGCATACTTCATGACGATTGTTTAACCGTTTAGCGCATCGGATTTACAGGCCTGATAATTATTATTACGTAACGGAACGCGCTGGTTCGGGAAACGACGTTCACACCGCCGATAGTATTATTATCGTGTACACGGCGACTGCGCGCATTTTTAGCCGCTCCGGCGGCGGCACGCGTCGCTTTCTATTTCTGTACTATTATATACACACATCGGTCCTTGGCACACGACCGACCGACCGAGCGTCGGCGATGGTGACTGGTGTGGAAGCATAGCGGCGGCGGCGACGGTCAGTCGGCGGCGCGCAATGGTGCCGGTGGGCGACAAGAGCAGCACCGGGTCATCGTCGGCGGCGTACAACGCGGCCGGCGCCGACAACCCCAAGGAGCGGCTGAAGGAGTGTTGCCGGAAGTTGGTGGCGTTCATGTGCACGCAGGTGGGCGTCGGCGGCCTGGTGGTCGGCTACGCGGTGGTGGGCGCGTTCTGCTTCATACAGATCGAGGGCCAGGCGGGCGACGCTCAGCACCACGCCGTCCAGCAGCTCCGGCACAACTGTTCGGTGAACGTGTGGAACGCCACCAACACGTACAACGTGCTGTACCGGGACAACTGGACGCGGCAGGTGACGGACGCGCTCACGCACTTCCAGGTCAACTTGGCGCTCATCGTCAAGAAGGGCTACGACGGCCGGACGACGGAGGAGACGTGGTCGTTCTCCGCCGCGCTCATGTTCTCGCTGTCCATATTCACCATGAACGGTTACGGTAACGTCGTACCCAAGACCGTGCTGGGCAAAGTCGCCACCGTCGTGTACGCCGTGTTCGGCATACCCTTGTACGTGCTCTACTTCCGAAACATGGGAAAGGTGCGTCGTCGTTTGTAAATAATTATTATTAACGTTTCTGTGATGTATCGTATGGGCTGGGGCGGTACTTCTTGATAATGTTTCTCAGCTCCTCGTGACTGTACAACTGTTTTGATAACGATTTTAATCGAGCGGATTCGAAGCCTATGGGTAAATGTGTTACACATATTATGTATAATGGTAGCCTATAGACGGTATTAGAAGAAAGTATAGCTGAAAGTATACGTTTGTAAAGGTGTATTCGTATTAAATATGATATTTTAAACAAAATATTAAATAATAATAATTAATCATACGCATCGTTCTTTGTTTATGTATGTATTGATTTTGTACAAAAGTGTTTATATAGAGACATTTTTATGATATGATTTCCAGACCACGAGTGATCAGTGTACAACTGTATAACTAACAGACATCGGGGAATCAGGTCGTTGGCTCTCCGCCTTTTGATTTCGTTAAGATGCCGTCGTTTATAAAAAATAAAATCGTTTTTATACATTTTGTGTACTCAAAGCGCGTGTGGTTAAGTCCCTAAAAAAAATCGCCACAGTATTCCAAGAACGTGTATGAATAAGTGCCGCTATAAAAGAGTGCGTCTGGAGGGGTTGGGAAGAAAGAGAAGAGAGACAGGCAAATACGATGAGTCTTATTGAAAAAAATTGCTCTTTTACTAAAATATGGTAAGAGCATTGTTCGGGATGGTCTTACAGTTTGAAATATTTACAGTGATTCTTTCATAGTGTTTTTTTATTTTTTTGGTTACTACGTGCTTAAACTATTTTAACTATAAAAATCCCTAACAATATATTACTATGGTTTTAAAATTATGCTGATAATATATTGCACACTTATTCGTGGTTTTAAAGGTTGGTTACAATGACATTGAGTTTGAATTCTAACGAAGATACGAACATTCAGGATAAAATCAATAATTATTTCATTCCCAAGATGGACAGTTTAGTGTATTAAATCTAATTATTGTATGTGGTTGTTGTTCAGAAATAAATACACAATTCGTATACGTACTAACTATTACAGAGTAGTTTGTTCGCTTCGCAATAAGTGTTTCTGTATGTATGCGTTAATTATATTTTATTAGCTTTTATTCGTTTTTAATAATTTTTATCGACTTTATAATCGATTTTTTTTTCAAAAAAATTGTTTTTTAAAAGGTGAAATGTTTGACGATAAAAGTTTCTATCCTCGAAATTCTTGCGTGGTGTAGTTAAAAACTGTCATAAACAAACACACAAATCCATCACTGTTTTTTTGTTAATGAGTGTATGAGCCCACACTTGAAGAGTTCAGCTGATTTTAACACACACTAAATTGTTAATGTTGTCTATCAAAATTTGGCTAGGGTCACTGTCTTGTTTAATGTCAACATGCGTTCACAAAATAGTGGTTTGTTTTATTTTATTATTATTCTTTTTAAAGCGTAAAACAAGTTATTTTGACAATTAAAAGTAGAATAACACTAAAACAAACACCAATAATGGTGGATTATTACATTTAAAGCACGCACTATATAGTCACCACGACTATTATTGTTAGTTTGTTTTTTATTCGTATACCTCCTCCAAGCGATTAATTAATTCAACTGGCATTCAGTTATTTCAAATTCGCACTCAGTAATAGATATATTGTGTGTTTTTTGTTTTATTTGATCACACGCGACAGGAATATTTTTTGCACTGTTTACGTCAAAGATTGAGTAGATCTAAATAAGATAACTTTCGGTCGTTATGATTAGTGTGTGTAGCGCGTCGCATGTGTTGTGCAGTTGTTCACCACGATCTGCTAACGGACATCGTTGCCAACACCTAATTTTCATAGTTTTTTCTGCACATATTACATGCTTAGAAATAACGTGTGTATTATTATTAATTTTTTTTTTTATAGTGGAAAGATTTTCAATTATTTTTGACGCTTTTTTCGTATTTTACAAGAGTCTTCGATCAGTCGAGGCATGTAAATATCATAAACTATGAGTTTCAAAAATGGTGATAAGTAATTTAATGCATAACTAAAAACAGAAATATTATTGTAGGCAAAACTATATCGAATAACTTTAAGTATTTCCGCGTTATTCTGAATAAGTCACGATAGGTAGTAAAGTACATTTTTTCTGATAAACAAAATCAAAGTATAATAAAATAGATTTTTTCGCGATAAAATAAAAATTTAATAAATAAAAAAATTGAAATATTTTGTACATTTAAAAATAATTTTGTTAAAAAAGTCTTGAATATATGTCGCTGCTTTAAATTATTTTTGTCTAACGATTTTATTATATTGAATAGAACAGTATTTTGATGTATGTACGATATAGAGTGATACATTTAAACGATAACACTAATTAGTTACACGTCAATATTTTTAGAAAATATTCGGGGGCTCTGTGTAGATACATATGTGATCAAAACCAAATGAGTTGTCTACCGTTAAGAAAAATTAAAAAAAAAACTTAAAAATAACTACGACTGAAGTAAATACATTTTTTTTCTTTTTATTATTTTCAAAATCATAACAGTTTATCCTCAGAAATTTAGAAAAATCGAGCGATTAATCGGATCACTCTATATATATATAATATTATGTATAATATTATAATATAGACGCGGTAACATAATATTAACTTTTTATTATTTTTATATCGCTGATGTTCGCATCAGGTGTTGGCCCAGAGCTTCCGTTGGCTGTACACGTGGGTGTACCAGTGCAGCATGGAGGACAAGGCTGGCGGTGACCCGTACAACCAACAGTTGCCCCAGAAGTCGAGGGTGATCGTGCCGTCCATGGCTTGCTTGTGGGTGCTGGCGGCGTACGTGGCCGCCGGCACGGTGACGTTCGTCACGCTCGAAGACTGGTCGTACCTGGACAGCACGTTTTTCTGCGTTACCAGCTTGTGCAAGATCGGCATCGAGAACTTCGTACCGGTGGGTAGCGCCACGGATGCCGCGGCCGATCATCCGATGAAGCTGGTCATCAAGTTCGTGTACTTGCTGCTGGGCATGGGCATCATAGCCATGTGCTTTGACCTGATGCGCGAAGACGTCCAGGTCCGGGCGAGGAACTTGAAAATGGACATCGGGTTGTGCTTCGAAGATATACGGCTGCGGGCCGTGGCCGTGTACAGACGTCGAAACTCGTTCGATTGACGATCACGCTCGTCACATAAAACATTTGATCGTATATACGATCTATGCATAAGACATAATACTATTGTAATATTGTAATGATAAACGTTCGTTGTATGTGTTTCGAACGTATTATGTACCTTTTTATAATTATATTTTATGTACCTACGACGGTAAAAATTGTTTTTGTTTCGTTTATGTAACACACTAAATTGTATTTATTTTTAATAGATTATAATATAATAAGTTGTTTCTCTCGCCAACATACGTGTGTATACGAATTAATAATTATTGTTATGGTTAAGTCAAACATCTGGCGCCACCCTCTGTTATCTCTATGCATCGTGTTCGTCATCACGGTGGCTGTATCCGATATATAAGTCTATATAGTTCTAGTCCATCCTCCTTCTCCCCCCCTAAAGGTCTTATCAACGTCGTGAGTTTGTTATTATTATTTTTTAAATCGACGGACGAGAATTCTCCCGAAAATGCTGCACTATATCGTGGTTAAGACTCTGCGCGTCCACGCTGATTTGTTTGATCGACGATTTGGATATGTTTTTTATTTAAGGTTGTCGACGATGAATAACTTGGTACAGTACGTGCTGGTGCGTGGTGACTTGACCAGGAACTTGAAATGGCCGTCCGGCGCCGTCATGGCCCAAGCGTGTCATGCTTGTGTCGCTGTGTTGCACACTTATTATTCGGATCCGGACACGCAAGCGTATCTAATGGACCTCAAGAACATGCACAAAGTCATCTTGGAAGTAAGTCCATCATCGTTAATATTTTATATGTTATAGGTATTCGTATTATTAAAATCTTTAATAAACGAGAAGATAATAGTGTATGCACTATTATACGTATACCTACATATGCGTGGGTAACGACGTTTACATTACCAGGATTTTTTTTTACTTTTATTATCTGTCGAAGTTTCAATAACGATGGTTATTAGCCTGCTTTTAGATAAGTTATGAGTTATAAGTTAATCAAAATAGCATTATTTAAGATTTTTAACCTGAATTTATATCACGGAAATGTAAATGTATTGATTTTGGGCTGTCTTGTCGTTAAATGTGTATGCTAGAACGAGGCTAACTTAATAAAGATTTTTCATGGTTTAGTATGTTTTAGGCATTTTGTTTTAATGTGATTGAATGTAAGGGTTTCTTTGAATTCGATAATATTGAATTGAGTACATGCTACTTTTATGTGTTTGAATTGAATCCAGCTTATTATCTTAATATCTTTGAATTGAGTCCGTAAAGATTAAATGTCATAACTACCTACATAGCCAGTGACGAATTTTTAATATTTTGTTATATTTTCAAAAATAATAAGATAAGTATGTACTTGAAATTTTCAAATTATTATTTTCAATATTAATATTATTATGATGGGACTCAATTCAATGTTATCCTTTGAATTTGTCTTAAATTGTTGCAGGTCTTGGCGATAAGAAAGGTGTTGGTTAAATACGCATTTCCTATTGCGATTTGTGTGATTATTTTTTATCTCCTCTTATTAAAATAAAGGGAAAACCCCATTTTTTAATGGGAAGTTTTATGTTTCTTAGTTATTTTTTAAGTGATACTGTGTTTTGATTTTTCTAGCCAGGCTTTCTTTATTTTTGGTTGATAGTATTATATGGGTCTGATTTATTTTCGTGGAATTTTAACATTCGTATTATATGAGAAATTTATCGTTATTCAACTGGCCGACGTAATAATTGTTTCTGTCTGTGCTCGTCGAGTTGTGCGCATATAACATACGTATTATAATAATATTAAATAGTATGATAAAATGTAGATCGATATTTAATGATCTTAAATATTGTCGCATGATAACCATTTACAGCAGTAATATGTGCGTTTTGGATTTCCGTTTGAACTGCGAACAATTATAATATCATCTGTCGCCGCAATTCATTGTCCATATATCGCAATTTGCTTCTATCGGCGCCTTATAATTTGAAAGCATAGACGCTCTGTCACTTAACGGTTTAAATTTAAATCACCGGGAAATACGGTATAACGGGCACGTGTTATTACTGTATATATATGTGTTATGGCGTCCGTCTAGTTCAATATTATTATTATTATGTGTGTTATTTTTTAGTCTCTCGAAATGGCCGTATGTTATTTTCTAGTCGTTTAATTATAATAAAATAATATAGCATTCAACGGTTTGGTTTGGCAATGTTGCTCGTTTACTGAGGACATTAAATGCGATTTAATGACATCCGTGCAGTGAAACGAAAAAAGTTGAACACGCGTTGTATTTTTTAGAGGTATATTTTTCTATAATTTTCAAGACTTGACGCGTAAACGGTGATTATCAGTGGTGAAGAAATATAAAATGCTAAATCCATTTTTTAGTAAAACTTAACTGATCGTTTTTCGATGTTCCATGATTGTATCATGAGATGTAAACGTTTCGTTTGGCTAAATATAATATTCTACTAGCTAAGACTTTTTGGTAAAATATTTTAATGTTAATTATAGTTTAAATTTGTTGTTGTTAAAAATATATTTTAACTATGATTCAATACTATTATTATTTATATCGTTTATTCATTAAATAATATTTTTTTAAATTCTAAGCTATACATACCGACCAATTTTCTACTAAAACGGTAACATTAGATTTATAATCATATAATATCCTTTTGTTGTGTGGGTAGGTATAGCCAATAGCGATGAAAATGTATTCACTTTTATCCCAGACCTTCTTATTCAGGATAATTTTGTTTCCTTGTTCTTCAGCTTATTTCTCAGATATCATCATATTGTTTTTTCAGCCGTAGGCCAAACACGGATTCCCTTATGTCTCGTATGCGTAATCCTAAATTACATTTTCCTTTGTTCTTCCGCCTTCGGGGGAATTATACCCTTCTTTACGATCACTTCTGTATTGATGTTTTCGTTTGTGCTGTAGTTTATAAGCGTATTTTGGAGCCATGGTTTCAATTATATTTTTCTTCATATTACGAAAATCACATTAATGCGTTGATGTTATGTGTGTATATTATTTAAGAATGTATACAATATACTATATTACTATATGTATAGTAACGTAAGTATTCGTAAAATAAATAAATATATATTACCAATATGTGACCGTTTTTCTGGATGTTCTGTAAAAATAATAAATGTAGGTACTTATATGTTAACACGAAACGTGTTGGACTAATAGACTATCTATTAGATACTATACATAAGTCATAATAGTCATATATAGGGTTATTTACTAAGAATATTCACTCTTATATTCTTTAATGATTCAGTTATTCAAAATATGATTTTTGTAATTTTTAAATATATTTAAACACAATATTTTCGAGTAATTGATGTTTGTATACGATTTAAGGGGTTTTCTGTGATGATATAAAATTATAAGCAGATATATATATTTATTTTTTTAATGTTGATATATCTACATCAAATTCTAACAAGTAATTTCTGACTTATTAAACTTAATGTATTTACTCGCTGTTGAGGATATAACAGCCCATGGTTTTATTCAAGACGTTCATAGTTATACGTAAAATTAAAATAACCGTTAATTTAATATTTATTTAGCCATTTTCTTATTTGTCATACTTGGACAATTATTACAAATTCTAAAATTCTAATAGATTAATATAGTTTACTTATTACAATTTGTAAATTAATTAAAAAAGAAACACTTATTACTAATTACCTATTGTCCTTGTTCAAATAAATCTTTTATCTAACTTTTTTCGTAAATATTAACAATATAATATATTTTAATATGTATATATATATAGGCATGTATATTATCATTAGTAAATAATATTTAATAATCGAGAAAGTATACTTATTTGAATTTTGATTAAGTTAGGTACATCAAAATTAAAACAAAAAAATTGTCTTCTAAATAATTTAAAGTATAAAAGGATAGTTTTCATTGTGAAGACAGAGATTAGCTACAGAACTTGCTTAAATGGTTAAATAAATTCTTTCAAGTACCAATTCTAAAATATGTTCTCATTTAAACATATTATTTAGAAGTTTCAAAAATCAAATGTTCAATTGTTGAATCATTAAAGAAAAGCAATGGAGGTGAGATGCTTGATGAATCATATTGTATATATAATTTTCGATGTGTCCATTAATAATTTGTAACTTTTGGGTTTGGGTTACATAGCTGTTACTGAATTATTCTTATTCTTAAGACCAGATGATTATGTTGTATAGTAATGGCAATGATTGAATAAAACTTATTATTTATAGGCTTCTTTTTTTTTTTTTTGAATTTATTGGTAAAACTACTTTAAAGCCTTTAACCAATGCTTAATTGGTAAATTGTGTCAAAATGACCGAACAGTCAGCCAGTCGTTTAATTTGTTTATCATCAAATAATTTTTTATTCACACAATAATTATGACTCATGAAACTACCATTGTGTCGAATCGGGTCGTAGTATTGAATTACTGTAGTTTGTATTTGATAACACGCAACATTTTTGTTGGTAAAAACAATAATAATAATAATTATTATTAAAACTGTTATTATACCTGAAAATAGGACCCAAACTAAAATGCTCTGAAAGTTTATTAAATAATGTTCATAAAATATTCATACACTTACAGTTACAATGTATTTTAAAAATAAAAGTACTTATGCGTTAAAAAAAAAAAAAATGCACAGTTGTATTTTTAAATTTTGCGTGTTCGTATAAATGGTAAACTCTAGTAAATTTTCTCTATACTTTTCATGTTTACAGCCGATCAATAAAGTAGATAGAATTATGAAATAAATGCGGCAACGAAGTTAAAAATCTCTGATCAATGTCTCTGTATTAAACCGTTGAAGATTTTAATTTGCTCCCAATCAAATATTATGCTCTATAATCGTCAAATCGGCATATTAGAAAAATTGCACGGATGTGCTCTGAAAAATTTAACTGCGCACTAAAGCCTTTTGATGTTTTATTCGCAAAGTCATAAAATAAATTAATAGCTTGCCCATCAAAATAAAATCTAATCATCAAACAAAAAAAAAAGGAAATGAAAACACGTGCAAACTCATCAAAGTTTGAGCCTTATCAGTACATAACTGTGTACGTTTTATTATATTTATGTATTTATCACGTTAAAAAAAAAAAACCGTTCCAACTGTTTTAATACATTGTAACGTGTTATGCGTACCTACATTAAACTATAGTAGAATCTTATTACGTGTGAATTATATAATTTACCGTCATCCGTCACCCGTTTTTTATTATTTTTTTTTGTTTTTTACAGGTACCCGACGAGACTTCCCTGTTGAGCACGGCCGCGGCGCTCGCAACGGACGGCGTGCAGCACGTCGTGTGGAAGGAACAGCCCGAAGACGTGGCCACGTGCTTGGCGCTGAAACCCTGCGCCAAGAGCGCGGTGAGCAAGTACGTGAGGAAGTTCAAGTTGTACAGCGCGTGACGTCGGTGATAAATAATAACGCGTGACCCCACGTGGCGTACACGCCGAACACGCGGGTGGAGTGTATTATTGGCGTGAGGGGTGCGTGGGTGCTGCGGGGTGTCCGCCCGTGGGGATCAACGGCCACCGCCAATTGACATCAATCATTTAATTGGCCGCTTCGTGGAATTCAATATAATAATAATAATAATAATAATAATAATAATAATAATACATATGTAATAAATAAACGACAATGGTCACCTCAAACACGTTCACAATCGTCGTTTTGATTATTATACACATACCTCGTACAACGTCAACGTATACCACTTAGATAAACGCCGCGCGTGTTGTGTATAATATTACACTTGTACAACGCCTAATCACGTCGTGCAGGCGCGGATATAAGGGGGAGGGACACGGGTCATCGATGCCCCCCCTCCCCCAAATACTACGAAAAAAAAAATTATGCTGATACGTAGTCAAACAACGATGGACGTTATGATATATGCATTTATTGTGGTGTAAGTTGTTATTTTTAGTTTTTGTGTGTATTAAATAATAATTAATACATTATTGTCTTGCGGATAGTTCTGTTAAAAATTCGAAAATTTCTGATCGCGCCGATTGACGACGACGTGTAACGGGTGCCGGGCGTATCCGTATAATTAATATTACTAAATTGCTCTTAAGGGGTTTGGAAGCGGCGATTTTCTGTGTTTGTCCAATACGCTCGCAATATAGGACTATAGATTTGTTCTGTTTCAAACGTATTGATTGGTATAGTGAAGTGAATTTTGAGATCGATTTTTTCACATTTTTGATTTAATCAAATCCTAAAAACGTTATATTAAAAAAGAGTAATTAAAAATAGACATACTTAAATTTTCGTTTTATTTTCAGAATTCTTATCGCTTCATTGTATGGTATTAATCGATGCGTTGGAAATAGAACACGTCCATAATCCTATGTTGCACGTGTATTAAATAAAGACAGAAATTCACCGCTTCCTTAAATAAAAAGTTTATTCTTTTAATACACTTACCTGGTTATTGAATTTTTAGTTGAGAGTTTATTCCTTTACAGTTTAAGGAAATATTTATAGTAATACTTATAAATTATGATATTATTATTGAATTATCGAACAACATGAAATGCCCTCCTCCCAATAATTACTTTGGATCCACGTCTAATGTCTTGTAATATTATATACTTGTTAGTTTTTATTAGGTATATAAGCATTTATGTTGGGTTTTATTTTTAACAGAGATATTATAGTGGCGATGCTGGGAGGATATTTAATCAATGTCGTCACTTCATAGCAATATTATAATGCACTCGCCTACCATCGTCGAATACAGTTGCGGGGGCCTAAGTCCACAACTCATTTTAGATACTATATTAAACACGTCGCGATGCTTTTGTGGTTCATCGTATAATGATCGTTGATTTATTGGAGTAAAAAAGCTGTATGAGTTATAGCTAGGGTATTACAATTGTTAGTCTGCACTGGTGACAATGTTTTGTAGGTTTTTATTAAAATTATACGATAATTTATTACGTTTCAAATCGTCATGATGATCGAAAAACTTTTAGGCGTAGGATTCCTATATGCTGTAGGTAAGCTTGTATACTTTATTAATATAATTCATGATGTTGAGCGATGTAAATAAGATGGTAAAGTATTGAGTTGAAGAGAAGAAAGAGGCATCCGGTTAAATCGTGCATTTTTAATGATTCAAATAATCGCATACAATACTACGTTTACCCGGCGATTAAGCCATAGTTGATGTATACGTGAGTGCGATTGCGTGTGTAGTGTACGTTTTAAGGACGATGACGGTCGTTTTAGACAAACTCCTTGGTTGTTTTTCGGCGAAAACAATTTGACAATGTATTCACGTTGCCGGGACAGAGGTTCAATGAGCTCTAAAAGCCCTATTCTACTATTTTTCTACCGACGTAATTGTCAAAAAGACTTAATTCTTTTCATAAATCGTAAATTATAGGTTTTATTATTATGAAAACAAAAAAGAGGTTTTTTGTTTTATTGACACAAAAAAGTGTAACGCTATAATATAAAAAAGTATTATACTATAGCTTGTCAGTATTTAGAATATAATATATTGTTTTTTTATGTTAATATGACTTATAAAATATTTGTTTCATGTATAATAATAATTGTAATTTGTCTATGATTTGTCGTCATGTAAAGGTAGATGGTTATATGGATTGCATGAATAGTGTTTTGATGTGTCATCATGAACCAATTGGTCGATCACGCAAGCAAGTCGAGTGGTTTATTGTTTGTATAAAATTATTGTATAATTATTGGACTGGTCATAACTTTGCCTTACTATAGCAAAAACTTAATGATGTCATACTAAATTGTAGGTATTGGTTTTTACGTTTTGTCTATATTATATGGATAAAAGCATGCGCAATATGATAATCAAAAAAACATTTTCTTTAAAGGTTTCACAATTGTCTGGAGGTTAGCTGCAATCATAAGTGCCTACAATATCGTACAAATGTACGCGCGAGGTAGGGTTTTGTCGAATTACTTGCTGGTATAAAAAGGCCTATGCCCGGAAAATAATACATGATATATACTTTACGAGTTTATAAGTGTTATGTGCACGCGGCAGCAGTTGGCCCGGCGATATTGCAGTCTCTGATACACGATTATATATGGCGTATAATATATCATGTTTATACGTTAGTAATAATAGTATTAATACAACTATTTTGTACACCACTTACAAACATAAAAATAAAATATAATTTCCAATCTACCGATTTGCGGTTGTTGGATATTCATCAAACGTTCTTTGTTTTTAATTAATATGTTTGTGTGTTTAAATATTGTAGTCGTTCTACGGTAGCAGTTAAAATTGCTACTGAATTGTTTTTACACTCAACGTGCTATTATTTTTGTTATTGATAAACTGGTATAAATCTACGTTTCTGTTGTGTTTGATTAGATTTTAGATACGTTTTTTAGCATTTTTAAGCTCATAGTTTAAACTATAAAAAAATACTAGTAACATAAAAATTAACTTTTGGTTATTTTTTATTTATTAAACTAATAAATATTATCTACTTTCATTTTTTTTTATAGATGTACTTTTTATAGGTTATAAATTTTAGATCTGTTGTGTACTTAGGTAATTATTTATAAATTTCTAATTTATATCTTTAAACAAGCAAAATAAAGTTCACGCGATATTCGGCCTCTCGTTATGACTGTAAAAATATATTCAAAAGTTTTTATCATTAAAAATTAAAAATTAATTTTAAGATTTATATTAATATCATATTTTATAAGTCTTTTTTACGGGGAACGAACGAGTGATCGATAATAAAAATGAAAGCTCAACAAAATACCAGCGTTATTTCATTAATAATTAATCACAACTTAAGTCACATTGCACTAAAATATACGCAAACAACTAAAAAATTATTATTATTTATACTTAAATGATAATTTAGAAAGGATAAAATGATTTTCATTCATTAAAATAAATTCATATTCATAATGAATAATAATTAGTAAAAATAATATGCTAGGTGTTTAAAATATATATGGCGTATGTCAAAATTATAAACCAACGTAGGTAGACAATTCATTTTTATTTTACTGAGCTATTTATTTATGTATAAAAAAACGGATGTAAATTCCTAAAAATTACTTATTACCATCATTATAATGACACATTTTTGCTACCCGTGGTAATTGGACGTGTACTATTGTATTCATTATAAAGTTCAGGATGAAAACCATTTATATTATTTCGTTGTCTATATATAAATTATAAATATATATTATTATTATATAAACTATACCTATATTTGTTATTCTAGAATATTAAAATTAATTTTGTCGAATAATTTATAATTATAATAATGCAGTACTTTTTTTAAATGTGCGAAGTACATACAAATTTACAACTCGTGTAAAGTAATTAATTTAAGGCTACGGAAAATTTTCATATCTCGTTCTAATAAAATAAATATATATTGCTTAATGAATTAATTTTGCAATAAATTAAATTAGATTTTGTTTGCGTAGACATTTTATAATGTATGTTCCATTGTATCGACGTTGTTTTGCGATAAAAAAAGTAATAGAGTTAACATAATATTATATGATAATAAACCTTTTTCTGAATGTCACAATAGAAAAGTATAAATTATTTTTTTATTTCAACACCATTTATTATTTTTAAATATCTAATATTTTTAAAATTATTTTAATAATATTTATTTAAAATACATAATTTGATATCTAATAAATCAATGGGTAAAATAATAAAAATAATGTGTCTATTTTTTATATTGAAAAAAAAAACAGACAAACAAAAAACAAAACTTATAATTATTATAAATATCTACCTACTCATTCTATGAAATATTTAAGCATTATAGTAATTAACGAAAACAATAGGTATTATTAAAACACAGTTAAATTTTTTTTGAATTGAAAGCGTGTGCGAACGACGATACGACTCTTGTTGTGATTTGATTTTTATTAAGAAACCACGTTGATCAATGTTATTTAGACAAAATATTTGAAATACGATCGTAATGACTAATGGCTAATGGATACGTAAAAAAAAAAAATTTCCAACAATTACATTTACAAATTCTTCCGCTTTATGTTGTTCAAGCTATTGATTAGTATATAATATACCAGTGTTTGAAGGGGAACACGTACATTATGTTATCATATGTATTGCTCGTCGTTTACTAATCAAATACCAAGAACCGAGTCGCACGAGTCCTTCAAGGGAAATATAACATTGTAAATACTATATAAATATGTACACCGCGTGAGCATCCAGGACACGACTTTCCCATACCAAACCTTCAAAATCACTGACCATCAATCCCTCGGAACCGAGTGATGGTTGCACCGGATGTATTAATACCGTTTTGTATAATTCATTTCATCGTCGTGGCTAGTATATACACACAATATATCCACATAATATTTTCTTATGAAAGGTAAATAGATTCTCAGGCACGATTGTGTTGTCCCTTGTAACGACGCACCGTTTAATAGTACGACAAATACAAATAGCCTGCATGGAAAATCATTAGCGACAAAGTGTTCGAGTTAAATTTAAACTCCCTTTTCCGTCAAAGTATTCATATATATTATATTATACAACAATATTATCTCACCCTTCCATCGTTATCGTCGTAGACAGATACCCTGCCTAACCAGTAACCTGCCATTATATCAAAACTAATTTTTCTGTT